TTAAAACTGTGGTTGAAATTGAAGTTGAAGAAAAAGTAATTTTTAAAAATATATATTAATATTGATGATTTTAAATTTAACTATTATAGAATTAATTACTCCTATTATATCATGAAATAAATAATACTTTATATAAAATATTTTTTTTATTTTATTAAACTATTTATAATTACATTACGTATAAAATTTATTCGATAAGAATTACAGTTTTCATAATTTTTTAAGCATGTAAAAAAATTAGATAAAATATTATTAAGTATAAAATTGATATTACAGTGTGAGTAAATTTAATTTACTCTATATTAGTTTTTCGAGAAAAAAATAGTGTTCACATCACGGTGCAAATAAATTTAATTCCCTGTAAACTAGTTTTTTTAAAATATTAATAAAATTAAAAAAATATTAATAAAAAAATATTAATGAAATTAAAACTTAAAAAAATTAACACTTAAAAAAATATTAATAAAATTAACACTTAAAAAACATTAATAAAATTAAAGAATATTAATAAAATTAACACTTAAAAAAATATTAATAAAATTAAAAAATATTAATAAAATTAACACTTAAAAAATATTAATAAAATTAACATTTAAAAAACATGAATTAAATTAACACTTAAAAAATATAATAAAATTAAAAGAAAAAAAAAACTGAGTGAACAGTGCAGTGAATTGTACTGTTCACTAAACAGTGCAATTAACGTGCACAGTGAATAAAAAACAGTATTTATCTGCTTTTTATTAACTGTGTTTTAAACGTAAAAGTTACGTGGAATCCATGTACAATAAACTGATTTTTTTTCTTTACTAAACGACTACAAACTGTGTTTTAATTAAAACGCAACCGCAGCTGCAGCCGCGTAAACAAACGGCACCTTCAACTCTACTCCTGGTGTGTTTGGAGAGACGGTACATCATGGCTGCTGATAAGATCATTTTAACACATGGAAGCTATGATATTGATAAAGTTAGCCCGTCAATCAATTGTCGTAAATGTAAATAGACTTGTAAGTAGATATTATATCATGTTATAGTATGTATTTTTTTTTTATAATTGTTTTAGCATTGTGAGGTTAATATATTAATATTCTTGAGCATATTATAAATTCAAACAAGATTTTTATAGGTGAATGGTTGAGTGTAGTTATAAGATAATTATTGTTGGAGGCTTTGCTTGTTTGAGAAATTTTTAGTTTTGAGCATATTTATAATTTTTATAACTAAGTTGTTTAGGATTTCAAATCAGGCTTTTGCTGGTGAACAAAAGCCGCATTGATGGTACTGACAAAACCGCTAACATCGGACTCATGTTCTCGGACTGAACTCTTTACGGGAAAACTTTTTCCCTTGCTCGAACAGAATCTCGTGAGAACTTTTCGTGGTTAGAATGTTTCTTTATGTTTTCTTTCTTTCTTTTTAATTAATCGCCTGTCAATCAAGTTGCATCAGCTAGAGATTGGGCTCGGGATTCATGTTCGAAGATAGTTTGCTGGGAAGGACTTCTTTACAACACCCCAAGGGCATTATAATTCTGATTTATGATCTACAAAAAAAAGTCACCGTCGATACACTAAAATTAATTGAAAAAAAAAACACTGAAATAGCAATGAAAATGGAATATTAATAAATATGGGCTCGAGCTCAAAAACAAGAAAAATCTGATTCCTCAGGGACTGGATCCTTAATTTCTGTTTTGTTCACACCGTGCTGTGCTGACGAAGCGAAGAGGTAAAAAGAGAAAAGGAAGCCTCTTTTCCCTCAAAACTGTCTATAACTATATATATATATATATATATACATGGAACACAAAATCAAAGACAAGAAAATAAGAAAAGACAAACAGACAAAAGACAAAATTACTGTATTTAAAAATATCTCTTTCACTATCTTCTTCTGCTTTATAATAACAACTTTTTCTTTGCTTACTCATGTTCTTCTCTCTCTCTCTTAATGGTTGTTTCTCTCTCTCTAGAAGATCTCTTATCAGATCCTTCAAATCTATTTTATTCCAGGTCAGATTCCATCTCCCTGTTTCTCCCTCTCTATTTTCTTCTTCTTTTTACTATTCATTGATTTGTTTGGATCGCTATATGTGCTTTCTTTACTTGTTATTTTCTTGTTCATGGGCATCTAGGGTTCAAAGCTGATATGGGTTTCTTGTTTTTGAAATTTGTTGCAGATTTGGTTTTATGTGCTGGGTGATTGATAGGTTTTGTTAGGGTTCGGTGCTGTTTTTGAATGTTTAGTTTGATTAGGCATTTGGGATTAAGCAATTTTGTTGTGGGTTTCATTTTGTGATGTCGTTGTTGCTAAAAGGTGATTCTATTCTAATTCGTGAGGTGTGGAATGACAATCTCGAAGAAGAATTCGCGCATATCCGTGAAATAGTTGATGATTTCCCTTATATTGCCATGGACACGGAGTTTCCGGGCATTGTGTTGCGTCCGGTGGGTAATTTCAAGAATAGTAATGACTATCATTACCAGACTTTGAAGGATAATGTGGATATGTTGAAGTTGATTCAATTGGGTCTTACCTTTTCAGATGAACAAGGGAATTTACCAACTTGTGGCACGGATAAGTATTGTATTTGGCAGTTTAATTTCCGTGAGTTCAATTTGAACGAGGATGTTTTTGCAAATGATTCGATTGAACTTTTGCGGCAGAGCGGGATTGACTTTAAGAAGAACAATGAAAACGGTATTGATGCTGTCAGATTTGGTGAGCTCTTGATGTCGTCTGGGATTGTGTTGAATGATAACGTGTACTGGGTGACATTTCATAGTGGTTATGATTTTGGGTACCTGCTTAAGCTTTTGACATGCCAGAATTTACCGGATACACAAGCAGGGTTCTTTAATTTGATCAACATGTACTTTCCAACTCTTTATGATATCAAGCATTTGATGAAGTTTTGCAATAGTCTTCATGGAGGGCTGAACAAGCTTGCAGAGTTGTTAGAAGTGGAAAGAGTTGGGATATGCCATCAAGCAGGTTCAGATAGTTTGCTTACAGCTTGTACATTCAGGAAGTTGAAAGAGAATTTCTTTAGCGGCTCCTTGGAAAAGTATGCTGGTGTGTTGTATGGTTTAGGTGTTGAGAATGGACAAAATATCCATTGATCATGAAAAATAGAAAGAAAGAAAAAGCTTAGAAAGATCCTTTCAAGTTGATGTGGGTGCTTGGCACCAGAATTTCTTGTACACTCTTGTACAACAGGTTTCTTAAACTATGAATATAATCTCCATCTACTTGCTTTCGTTTCTGAAGTATGGTGAACATAAAACATTTTGTTAAATGAAGACACAACATCTATTGTTCTCTTTACAATTATAAGACTGCACCTTATCTTTATCCATTGCCAGCTAGTGCAGCTTTCCAGGCTACTAAATTCTGCTCTAGGGACGTGCTTATTTTTTCTGTTCATCATCTCAGTTATTGTTGGATTGTTTCTCATTTTCCTTATCTCTCTGCTTCCTTAATACATGAGTTGCTTTCTTCTTTTTTCACCTCATTGGTCTCCCTCCCTCCCCGCACCTCCTACTACAATAATCAGATTTAGTAGCAAACTGGCTTTGTGGCTTTGAAATCTTTTTTACTTTTGAGTTTATTAGAGTTCATTCTTCAAGCACATTCTAAAGATGATTTGGGTCCAGAGTTAAACTGTAAGAGAAATGTACTTCAATTCTTGTTGGCTTGCATAAGTAGTCAACTATGATTGAATGGTTCCACGAATGTCTCGTATAGCTAAGTGGTTGGTTGCCCCTTTCCTTTCATCTTTCCTCATGTACCAATTTCTCATGGTGTTTGAGATGCAACAAGCATTCAATTTTATTTTGCAGATTGCAGGTTGACACAGCAATTTTTCAGGAAATGAATCGAAGATAGTATTGGTAACCTTTTAATGTTGCAATTGATATGCATAGTGATGGTGCTTTATTGAGCTCCGGAATCATGATGCTGTACTTCTAAGTCTATGTGCGTTGTAGGTATTTCACAGCTGTGCAGGGGTCTTTTTGGACAACCTCTGGGCATCCTTTTGTTTTCCATCAGTTAGTTCGCAACTTAAGCTGTATTTCTTTAGCTGCAGAGGTTGGATATCTGCTTCTATTTATACGCCAAGTTGATAGAGAGCGTTGAATTGCTTTGATTCGGAAAAATGCCTGCATGTTAGATGGATTTGGTTTTGTAAAAGGAACAGGTTTTAACTTGTATAATCTTTTTATTGAAAGAAGGCAGCATGTTTCAGCAACAACCTTCTACAAAGGCAACGAGACGACCAACGACAAGCCACAAAGTGATCAGTTTCCCAAAGGGAGAAAAATCATGGTTTTTAAACCAATCTGGGATATGCATTTTTGATCTGATTAACTTTAGTTAAAAAAGGCTAATGGGTTTTGTCGGATTTTTCTCGAAGCTAATCAAGTTGTTCGTGTAAGGTTGGGTCATTCCAGGTTATTTATTTATTTATTTTGTTGAAATTCAATTCAATCTAGACTCAAGTCTCACGTTTACTAGTAAGATTTTAAAAATAAAATAAAATTAAAATCCTATTTATTATTTTCAAAAATAAAAATTAAGATCTTTTGAACATATATAGTTATAAGTCTTGATGTGAGTGATCATATTAATTGGTATATTAAATCAAGTTTTATATCAAAATGATATGTTTGCAGTTTTTTTTTTAATCAAATGACAGATAAAATTCAATTCAACATGAAATCCGAGGCAGTTTGTAAATCAACGAATTCAATATATCTGATTGTGATTATTTATTTAATTAATAGCAAATTGATTAGAAAAAGAATTAATCTTTATTTATTAATTCCTTTTCTTATATATATAGTTATATTTTATTGGACCATGCTCTGTCTTGATTTCCAATTTATTGAGGCTCCTCTCAGCTCGATATTGGGCCCGTTTTAAGGCCCTGACCAGTTTCATGTAAGAAACCCAAGAAAAGAATTGAAGGACAAGACGGTCAATTAAGAATTAGGGTTTAATAGGTTTCTGCCCCAGTTATATTATCGTCTCCCGTCACCACCCTTCTCCTTGCTTTGCAGACACACAAGCAGCCGGTCCATCTTCACTTGCAAAGGTCATTGTCCCCTTTCTCTAAATCAAATTACGTTCAATTCTTGAACTTGTTTTATCTTGTTTGACATCTGATTTTTTTTCTTGGATTTTTTTGGTTTTGCAGCGAGGAGATTTTAAAATCATCAACAAAACCCGAAAAATGTCAAGGTATGTAACTGTTTGAATAAATGATGATTTTAACTCAATTTTGCTTGTGTTTTCCTGTTTTAGTAGCTATTATAGTTATAGTATTTGTTAGAGGTTAACTTGTAATTCTTTATTTGTGGGTTTTTCTTATTGGTGATAATGCTGTTGCACATTTGACATGCTAGGTTCTTTTTCTGTTTTTTGCTATTGCTTGTGGTAATTGTCTACATGTTGGATTGATTTATTCTTGAGAGCTGCGGATGGTTTCTATGCTGTAGAGATTAGTCACATTTCAACTTATCATCTTACAAGTGGATCTTGATCTCTTTCAATTTCTTAGCTTTCAGTATATTATTTAAAGCTTTTCTAGTGTTTCTTTGAATTATTTTGCTTTTGCCAGAGGCCCTCTCTTTTTTTAAAAAAGAAAAAAAGTGATAGAAAGGACAATGTGTTAAAAAAAATTACACGAATTTAGATAAATCACTGTAAATGTATTGGCTATTTCCTTATAGCCAACATAATGGTGGGGCATTGTGTATTTTATTTATTTTGATGTATCTGGCTTTTCTTGCTTCTGCAGTGAAGAGACTCCTGCTCCTGCTGCTGGTCCTGCTGAGACTCCCGCTCAGCCTCTTGAGGCCATGGACTTGATGACAGCATTGCAGCTTGTTCTGAAAAAGTCCCTTGCTCATGGTGGACTTGCCCGGGGCCTCCATGAAGGTGCCAAAGTGATTGAGAAGCATGCCGCCCAGCTCTGTGTATTGGCAGAGGACTGCAACCAGCCAGACTATATCAAACTCGTCAAAGCACTCTGTGCTGACCATGGTGTAGGCTTATTGACAGTTCCCAGTGCTAAGACTCTTGGCGAGTGGGCTGGGGTAAGTTTAGTTTTTCTACTAACCTTTTCATCTTAACCATTAAAGTTTTTAGTCTATTTATAGCTTAGTTGTAAATTGCTTTGTGTTTTTTTTTTCCATCTATTTTCTGAAATCCACTTCATGTTATTCTTTCCAATGATTGAGTTGTTGTCTAGCCTGAACTAGAAAAGGTTATGTTCCCATTGCAGGAGTAATAGTTGTTACAGATCATGTCTTTTCTTTTTTCTCTGCCAAAACTTGCATGTTTCATTCCATTAAGAGCTTTAATTTTTTGCTTAACCTTAACATTTATGTAATGGCATTGTTGTTTTTTGCGTCCCTACATGCAGTTATGCAAGATTGACTCTGAGGGCAAGGCCAGGAAGGTTGTTGGCTGTTCCTGCGTTGTTGTGAAGGTACCGATCCTTTCAGGTATAGCATGCTTGTACTGACTTGTCATCTTAGGCGTAACATTTTTGTTTTGTTTTACTGGTTTGCAGGATTATGGCGAGACAAGTGAAGGCTATAACGTTGTTCAGGAGCATGTCAAGTCTCACTGAGTTACAATGGATCTAATGAGTTGAATTTCATATGTAGAGACCTTTACTCCATGTTTTCATGGACCCACAATTCTATGGGATTTTTTAGTGTTTTCTAGTCTCCATTTTTCCGCCCTGGGAATTTTGAGTCTTCGCTTCCTGTGACTTTTAATCAAGTTGGTTCATGTTGTGGTGAAAATCTTTCTCGATACATGAAATGCAGAATTAAGGCCTTGATTAATATATAGATGATGCGCAGAATTAGCTCGTAAGGCTGAGCTCTCTCTTGAACGTGCCAGTGACCAGTTTAATATTGCTGCTGAAATGACGCATGATTTTGCAAGCATTTCTCAATTTCTTGCTTCGATTATCCAAGAGCCCTTCAAGAAGTTATTGATTTGAAATTGATATTTAGAATTAAGTTTCTCAGATTTTAGCATTTAATGCAATTAAATCCCTGTGATGGACATCCTGTATTCACATGCCAAACATTGAAGCCGTTGGTTTGTTGTGCAAGCTGACCACGCTGGTTTATTTGGATGGTTTTTCATGTTAAAATATATATTAATAATATTTTTTTATTTTTTAAAAATTATTTTTGATATTAACATATTAAAATAATTTAAAAATATTAAAAATATATTAATTTAAAGTTAATAAAAAAATAAAAAAAAATCAAATTTTTTCAAAAATATTTGTAAATCGTAGAAGCAAACAGATAAAATAGTATAGTGTTGTATAGATAAAAAAATTTTAAAATAAAAAATAAACCAAATTCTTTCCATGAATTATTATATTTTTTAAAAAGAGTTAAACTAGTTTTGACCATTTGATTGATCATAAATCAATTTTCGTCTGATAAATAACTTGTCAATAAATTTAAATTAACATGAAATTGGATATTTGCAGTTGAAGGTGGTTGGAACGAAGCTTTAGTTTTAATGAGTAATTGATAAGGACACTTCACTGGATAGTACTGTTTAATCACACTTTACTGGAATGAAGCTTGATGAAGTTGTTTTTAATCACAGTACTTAAAATAGGGAAATGAGCTCACTGGAATTATCACACTACTTAAGATTCATATTCTATGATTTGAAAACCTTTCCATGTGATAATTAAGTATACAGTAATAGCAATTATCACTTAATAAAATTATATATAAAAAATAAGTATCTCTGACAATATCCTTTTAAGTAAATGAAGGAAAAGATTCATGAGATAATTTTCTGTATAATTTAATAAAACAAATCCGACATGCTGATCAGTAAAAATAACCAGTAATGCTAAACTTTTATAATAAGAAGTTCTTGAGTTTAATCTTCGTAAACTTGTTTCTCAAGTTACCACTAATTAATTCGGTTCTTACCTAAGGAATAGTTAAAGTTATGTTTGGTTTAAGGTTAAAAATTAGAGATTAAGTTACCAATTTCTTACCCTATCACTGGCTCCCTCGATCCCTTTTAGAGGGTTAAGTGTCCACTCTGTAACTTTTTTTTTTGTTTTTCGTTTTTTATTGTTAAAGCATTGAACATGACTAAAATGGGTTGGATGTTAATCTCTTTATCTTTTTTATATAAAACCAAACACAGCTTATAAGAAAAAAAAAATTTCTATTAGTGAATGTAGGAATATGCGGCTCTTTTATGGTATTATAATCTATATTTTATTTAAAAATATATTAGAATAAATTTTTTAGATGTTTTTTAATCATCTTGATATATTAATATAAAAATAAAAAAAATTATTTTAATATATTTTTAATTAAAAAATATTTTATTTTAATCTATGAGTAATACATCGGCACAATAAATCAATATAACACCAGCACTAGCTATAGCAATAGCTAGGACAACGAGCCCCCTAATTTACTACAAGCCTTTGTAGCTATCAGATAATTAAGTTTTAAAATCTATGTTGTTTTGATTTTACGAGAATATTTTAATTTCAAGATTAGATTTTATAGATTTTGATATTTTAACTTTAATTAATTATGTTTTTTTAGGAGATTATATTGATTTTATAGTCTAGGTTACTAGCCTTTTAATATTAAATTTATTTTTTTATTCAGTTATCTTTGTCTCGTAACTTGGATTCAGATATAACAAGTTAATTTAATCAATTTATTTTTTAATAGTTTTTTTAATTAATTTTTTTAATTAATATTATATTTGATTATAAATTAAATTTAATAATTTATTTTATTTTTTATTAGGTTATTTTAGTCTCATTATCCATTAATAGTACTTAATGGTTATCTCAGGTTAACATGATTTATTTTTTATATTATTTTTTTAATTAAGATTTTTATAAATTTTATCATTCAACATTGACCTTGTTTTTTATTAGTTTTTTCCCGTCTCATAATTTAGATTGCAAGTTTAGCAAATTAATCTAATTGACTTGTTTTTTTCTTTTCTTAGTTGATTTTTTTTTCAATTTTATCATTTAATATTATGTTTGATTGGGAATTAAACTTGAAGATTTATTTTGATTTTTTTTTTGTTATGTTATCCTAGTCTCATAATTTGATAATAGTACTTAATGATTAACTCGATCCAACTTAACTTGACTTATTTTTTATGTTATTTTTTTAATTAATATTTTTATAAATTTTATTATTCAACATTAAATCTGATAAAAATGATTAAGAATCAAGTTTAATAATTTATTTTGACTTTCTCTCTATGGGGTTATTTTAGTCTTAAAGCCAAGGTCGTGAATTTGATAAGCTAACTAGAATTAAATCAAATTATTTTATTATAAGATTATCTCAATATGATAACTCAGATCATGATTTTAATAAATTGAATCATATTGTTTTTTATATTTTTTTAATTAATTTCTTTTTATAATCTCATTATTCAATATTAGGCTGTTTGGATATTGAAATTCATAATTTATTTTGATTTATTTTTTATGAAGATATCTCGGTTTTATGACTCGCGCTACAAGTTTAACATATTAATTTATATCTTTTTTTAGGTTATTTTTTAATTGATTTTTTTAATCTCATTCTTTAATATTGGATTGATTGAAAATTAGACTTTCTAATTTATTTTAATTTATTTTTTTATAAAGTTATCATAATTTCATAACTTAGGTCATAAATTTAACACGTTAACTCGTATTGTCTAAAATCAATTCAATATATTGTTATTTTAATATTAAAAAAATATTATATTGAAATTTTGTTTAGTCAAATATTATTTTTAAGAGTTATATAAGTTATTTTTATTTAATAAAACTAATATGGTTACATTGATTTTATTTTTATTTAATCCCCATAGAATTTATTTTTTTAGAAAAAAATATTAGTAATATTTAAATATTTTTTTTTAATTCGACTATAGTTTAAACTATTCTAAAGCAATGATGTGCTCGGACGTTAGAAAAAAATATTAGTAATATTTAAATATTTTTTTTTTAATTCGACTGTAGTTTAAACTATTCCAAAGCAATGATGTGCTCGGACATGTCACTATTTTCCTTATATTCTAAATACTAAAAAAGAAAAGAAAAATCCAAAATCTAACTTGTTTGTCAATTAAACTAAAACCCGTCTTCTTTGTATCATCTTTTCTTCTAAACTATTTTAAAGCAATGATAGTAACAATTTTCCTTATATTCTAAATCCTAACAAAATAATAATAATAATAATAATAATCCCTAAATATAACTTGTCTGTCAATTAAACTAAAACCCTTCTTCCTTGTATCATCTTTTCTTTTAAAGAGAAAATATTTTTTTGAATATTAATCTTAAAATTTAAATTTAGAAAGTCAAGAAAGAAAACAAATCTCCTATAACATACAACCTCTGATTTGGTGTAAAACTAGCGAGAAGGCTACACAACCTTTGCCTCCTTAAAAAAGAAAAAAATGAAAATCCTCGACGATCCCCGAACACTATCTGCTGTAATGCACATAAAAGGAGTGAAAAAGACCATAAATAAATAAAAAAGGGAGAGAAATCGAGAATTCCCAAAAGCCAGAACCAAAAAAATGTCCAAAACCCAATTATTCTAACCCAATTGAATTAATGGGTTGAATCCGAGGAAAAAAACCTGCTTCTCTGGTAACCTCTGCTTGCATGCACAACACTTTGCTAAAACTTAGCTGTGGTGGAGTTGTCAGCAAAACAAATCCCTCGCGGGTTTAATAAATACCATGTTGCTCTTTTGTTTCTGGTGTGGGTTTGAGTGAAAAGTCTCTGAATTTACAGCTCTGAATTTACAGAGAAAGTGAGGGTCTTTTGTGATTTGGGTTTCTGGGGTTTTGGTTTTCGTCGTTGAAAGAGTGTTAAAATGCCTTACAGTGAGACGGAGCTTCAAGAACGTCTCAAAGAGGCTGGAAAAAGTCTCTTAAACCCTCCATCATCTGTTGATGACCTTCTTGACATGCTTGATGTAATGTCTCGTCACCCTCTTCATCTCTTTGTATATACATATGTATTTTTATTTGCTTTGTGTGCTTGCCTTTTTTTTAATGGTCTTTGACATTGTATTAGAATGTTGAATTGATTATTTGTTGAATATGTTTTTTGGGCTTCATTAGTTGGTGCAGGGATATAAACGTTTTGGTATTTTTGGTGACGACTGGCATGGATTAATGATTGTTTGTTTGGCAATTTTGCAAAAAAATGTTGTTGTTATCGTATACGGGCTTCATTTTTAGTTCCTTTAGTCATGTATAAAAACACACTAGATATTGATGTTTGTGTAAGTTTTTTCCCCGGGATTTTGTTGTTTGCATGCCTGTTAATTGGAGTGTTGAATTTGAAATCGTTCAATGTAGTTTTAATGATTGTTGAATGTTGGCTGTTTTTCGGATTTCATTTCTGATTTTTTACTGAGCCTTATATGACCTCTATAGAGATTAATTTATCTTTTGGCTTTGTTGCTTATTTATTCTATTGTTAGGATTGTTCCCCAGGAAGGGATGGATTTATGGTTGATAATCATTTCATGATAAATGGGCTGGGAGGGATCTTGCATTTTCAATTCCATTTATTCATAAAAAATTACAAGGGTGTGTTGTGTTAATGTGCGATGTTATGACAGGGGTGCATAATGTAGAGAGGCTCTGCATTTATACTCTTGCCTAAGGGCATGGCTGATGCCTTTTAGGATGAGTTAGGAGCAAATGGACTTGCAGGCAATCACTCCTGGCAGGATCCAAAACCATCGACATACATTTGGGTTTTGGATGCCTATATCTCTCCTAGACTCTGCACCTAGATATTCTTATTTTTGTTCTCAGATATTTT